CGTTTCCCTGCCCATCGATATGATGTAATTACTTACGTTCGTCGTTGAGCAAACATTGACGCTAGCCGGTCGATCATTTTTTAACTATACTTATCAGCCGTACTGATTAAAAACAAATATAAAAAGTTAGCCGTTCGTTATCTTCAAAGTTGTTTTTCTTTAGGATAAAAACTTATCGACGAAATAAATGGTGTTGCTCTCCCTCTCTCATTCTCGGTAAGATGTTATTACTTACGTTCGTCGTTGAGCAAACATTAACTTGTCAGCGATCGATCATTTTTTTTCACAACTGCAATAAGTATAGAAAGACCTTCTCGACTATCTCCGAAGTTATTTTTCTCTTCTGGGATGAAATTCATCGGCGAAATAACACTGATGCTTTACGTTTTCGTACGATTGGGTCAGCTGACAAGAAGTTAACGACAATGGCACGCGGATAACAGGCGGTTATGTAATATTTGATTACGATTGTGTAACAGCGGACGCGTTGAATGCACAGCGTGCATTGGTCCAGATAATCAGAGTTAATTATTGGTTGATTTAAGATGCTCGTTATCGCGGACGCGAATGTCACGTGCCGCTGCATATACATACATTTTCTTATCCTTTGCGTGTGACTCCAATATTGTTCGCGCTTAGTTAACAGCAATACGCCGCAGCGTATCGCGAACAGTCATACTTTTTTCACTGATCGACTTAATTACCGAGTGCATCGAACAGCGACAGATAACGAAAGATAAAATCGATGGAATCGATGGTCGATAGACAGAAACTTCACCCTCTCGCTACGATACTGCCGCCATTAAAAGAGATCCCTTGCCAAAAATGTACAGATTGATCGAATCATTTTTCGATCCATTTTGAAATAGAATCTGTTTCTTTTTTAATTTTCTGGTGGCATTCTGACATTTCGAAGCGTCTAGAATGTTTTCCCTTTCTTTCAACAAACTTTTTCAAACCTAACCTAATTAATTAAATTTTTAAGAGATCGACAGTTACATGTATATACCGGTGTTTGCCGAATTGTAATAGATTAGCAAAGATTTTCTATTACAATCATTTCCTATCGTACAAATATTCCACTGTCGAATCTTTTTTGAATCTCTTAACATTTTGACAAGAGCGTGGAACGTTTCTTTCTTTTTTTTTTTTTTTTTTTAACTAAATTTTAATTTTTCAAACAAGACTCTGACTTTAAATTTCTAAGAGGTTAACCTAAACCTAATCTGATGTAATAATAACAGTCTAGCCTAATCTAATAAGTCGGTGTTTTTCGAATTGTAATAGATTAAGAAAGATTTTTTATCACAATAATTTCTTGTCGTATAAATATTTCACGGTCGAATAGAAAAAAAGTTCGTCTCGATGGTTATATATTTTTAATGTGTGATTAAAATGCGTGTCAATAGGTGTCGTATATATCTCGTAATGAAAGGGTTAGAGGTAGATCGAAGCTCGAGGAAAGAGTAAATAAGCTCGAGTTAAAAACAAAAAAGCATTTCGCTAGATAGATTAATTAATGGGAGCCGGTCATCGATATTTGGCTACGATTAGCACGGGGCAAGCAACGAACGACTCGAATGGGGATCATCGGGTATGGATAGGTCAAGTATGATTCCGTTCCGTGTCACGATCGTGTGACATTATACCACGATATTTTTATCGGGAGATTTTGCAACGAACACTGTCGAAGAAAAGAAAAGAAGTTCGCGCGAAGAAAAGAGAGGCTAAATGTCCAAAATGTAGAGCAAGTAGAACGTAGAACGTTCGACGAGGCAGCATCATCGGCAAACTATCCTCCGTACGACGCCATAATCGCACGTGGCACGTTTCTCTCTCCTATTCATAGAATTTTATTGGCACAGATCGATGGCTCGATTTTGAAACAGCCTCTCACAATGTGTGTAACAGGCTCGAAAAGGCGCGACGATTTACATACGAGTGACACGCTAACTGAATCGCACTGAACGGAAGTGCATAGTCGCACGCTCGATGAAAAATTATCCGATAAACTTAAACCGTCGTTGAAAAACTTCGTGAAAGAAAATCGCACGACAATCCAGTTGGCCTCATTTCGATGTGCGAATCCTCCGCTTTGGTAACCTCGAGTTCGTTTGAACTTTCCAAAGATGTTTTCGTCATCGCGCAACAGGTGAGAAAATACCGTTTCCAAGAATACTGTTTCGCACTTGGAAACTGCAAAAATTCGAACGCCTCCGAGATCACGGGGAAAATTTTCTCACGGTACTAAATCGACGATCTTGGAAATTGAACTTTTTCCTTTACATCCTTGAAGCTTGTTGTACGATTTCTTTTTCGCCGTTTGAACGTCAGGGACAAACGACAAAAATTCAAGGAGTGTTCCATGTTTGTTATAAATGGCGAAGAAAGAATCGCACAGCAAGTTGTAAGGAGGACATGGTAAATCTAATCATGGGACAAACAGTTTTACATGATGCAAGATCATTAAGAAAAAAAACTAACGCAAGGTTGTCAAAATTAGAGACTCTGCACTTGAGAATGAGGCCGACCGGATCGTCATACGACTTCTTTTTTATGAAATCACAACAGTTTACAATATGGCTCACTTCTGCGTAAATGTATATGCATGATAATTAGCTGCGAGTGTTGCGAAATCGGTTACATTATCATGCATTTACGTTTCTTCGTCCGTGTTTCATGAAATAATCATAAGTGCTTCTAATTAATGAGTTAACGTCACCCGATAGATAGAGTTCAAGTTCATCTGTAATTTTCCTTCAAGTACGACGTTGTTACAATTATTATATAATATTATATAATATTGTAATTATTATATATAATTAATTATATAATTATTATAAACGGCGTTAGTTGTTATAATTATTTTCGAGAACGCGCTCGTTTCTTCCTAGAGCAGCAAAACAGAAAAAAAGAAAGACACAGCTGTCTCGTCGTTCACAGCTGCGAAACAATTCCTGATGATGACATATGCGCG